AGCTCTTTCTCTCGCAGTTAGATTTGGTTTCAAAGGTTTATTATTGAATTTCACATTATGAGCGATAAGATGCCTAATCATTTCTTTCTGTGAATCTGAAACTTTACTGAACTTGAAAGCTTTTTCGATAGGAGCCAAAATCTTTGGAATCGAGGGTTTACAGGTTTGTGAGAAGTTAAAATTATATTTTAGAATTCTCTCTTGTTCTTCTGAAAGACTAACATTAGAAATATTAACTATTGGCTTGATGTTTACAATGGGAAGATTTTTTGAACTACTTGAACTGGAAGACTGTAAAAGAAGTTTTTCGAATTTAACTGCAAGGGTGTTTTTGTGACGGTTAACTGCATTCTCCGTTCTAGACCAAGACTTTTGTTCAAGGGCAGTGAATTTTGGATATGGAACACCTTTCAGATGTTTTAAAGAAAGGTGTGAAACCACATCACACAACACTAGCAACCCTTCCTGAAGTATGGAACTCTATCCGATGCTTCGCAAGCCATTTCCATAGAATGCTTCCACAAAATTATTGAATCTATGCCTCATTGTGTAGCACATCAGACATTATTAAGGCCACAGGAGGCAAACTTGTTATTGACTTGCTCTCCCTAATTCAATAGCACTTCAGTGCAGTTAAAATTATGTGTTACTATGTGAAAAATTATCACAGAGCTGGGATAGCAGGATCAACAAGTTAGCATTTGCCTTAAAAACAGCTAAGCATGACACATGAGGAACACTCCAGTAGAACTATTCTTAGGCCCAAAGCTAATTAAAAACCTGGATAAATCATTCTTTAGGCAGAAGAGGGCACAAGAGTTCAAAATGGCAGACGTACAGAAAATACTAAATGAAGCTGCAAAAAATATGGATATGGCAAGGGGAAAACAGAAGCTGTATTATGACAGAAAAAGGCGAGAAATTAATTATAAGGTGGGAGATCAAATGCTCTAGGTAAAGCATTCATTCTCATATGAGAAAGACAGGATAGGTAAAATTTTGTCCATAATTTCAAGACCACAGGAAATTTAAAGAATTAAGAACAGTAGTTCAAAAAGGGTTGCCACTCAAACAGGAGATTGAAATTCCCTGACTTTTCCAGGTTTTCCAGGTGTATTTTAAGAATATTCCAGTTTATCTGCATAATGCATTTTGGCTGTGCTAAGAGGTAAATTAATTATGGTATTACTTGAAAACACAAAAATTCGTCAATTACATATGACTTATAATTAATCCCCAAAGGATTACTATTTTAACTATAAAAGGAATTGTTTTCTCCACTGAAGATTGAAATTAGAATCTGCCCAATCTGGATTTAAATAAATAATTTTTTGCAGACATTTTGCAACTAAATGAAAGAAATATATTTGATGATATTTTTAAATAAATTCAGATATTTTACATTTATTTAGCAGCATACATAAGCAAAAAATATGTGCATTAAATTTTGTGATGGTATGCTACTAGTGCTAGAATTAATTTCAGGATTATGCCAGAGAAAATTTCCTGAAATTTGAAAGTATTATTTACTAATAATAAACAAATTTAGAGGGAAGAAGCAACATCAAATGATACGAAAAACATAAAAATAATTAAAAATTGAATTACAATAATCAACGATATTTTAGCGAATATAGTTAGTTATATTTAATGGTTAGCCTAGATTAGTATTTTTTATTTTATTGCAAAATGACAAATAAGGCATTTATTAAAAAGAAAAAAAAGTTTAAAAGATTTTGTGGTAAAATCTTAATATACGGTAAGGCCTTGGCACGATTTTGAAAAATTGTCGCCAACACCAAAACGACCTGTTTGCTGCTCATCGTAACATTGCCAAATCGTACATTGAAAAGAAAAAAAAAAGGTTTAAAAGATTATGTGATAAAATCCTAGTATACACTAAGGCCTTTGCACGATTTTGAAAATTGTCGCCAATACCAAAATAACACATTTACTGCTCATCATAATGTCACCAAATCCCGTGGGTACCATACATGGAAGTTAAAACAGAATACATAGAAACAAAAACCCTAACCAAAGAATGTCTATGTTAGCAGAGGACAACTGACTTCTAAAGTACACGTCCTGGGGAGGAAAAGATGGGGAAATTAGGAACTTAGTTCAGACTTGGTGCGTGAAGGTGCAGTTGCCCCTCGCTCCCTATTTTTGACTTCGCTAATTTTTTTGCATTTTAGTCTATGTGTTATATGTTTGATTAGACAGCCTAGCTCAGTAAAAGTAGGCGGTCAGTGTAACTCTGATTCAAAATCCGGTTACGACCACGTGCAGTGCTAATAACGACCACATGTTTCTGACACTCCTTTGCCAATGCTTTATTTTTCTTCTTTTTTTTCCCTTTCTAGTAATTTCGTTCTCCTGATGAGGAGGGACCTTTAGCTGCCCTCGAAATCAATTGAGTGTTTTAATATATGTACGCTAAATACAAGGTTGATATTGCGATTTTGATTAACCAAAGGATCAGTGCAAGCTTAGAGTTCACGAAAAAGTCCCACCACCTGGGACCAAGTACATTGAGGAACTGACACCAAAGTTTCTATGCAATAAACGGCCAGCTCAGCAATCTTCAACAATGCAGATAAGACCACAAAAATTCCAGCATTCTGGTCTACTCAAAAGTGCTGCAGAAAAGCCTAGTGGGAAATTCAAGGCCAAAGATGCGATTAGCAAACATGGAATATACACATCAGGGAAAGGTGCTTAGAGTCTGAAATGACGAAAAGAAAAGGAAAGCCTCAATGGAGAAGGAGACTCAGCCTTCACGAAGATTCCATATATGACAATTAAGCATCTACCTCACTTGGCAGGAGTTCATGAATAAAAAAATGGAGAAGTGCCAAAAAAAAAGGATATGTAGAAATTTAATTTCTACTTACTAAGATTCAGTTTTATGCCTAAAAGTATAGGAATTACTAGACTATTTTTGAATTTTGCTTCAACTGAGGTTACTTCAGTTGTTTAAGTAGCAAGAATTTAGGAAGTTTATACATAATTATTCATTCTTGCTCTAATTTAGTTTAGAAACAAGAACTCTATTTTAGTCTGAGAGACTGATGTGAGGAAATATTAATGAAATTCTAAGAAAATATTAAAATATAAAGAAATCCTAAGCAACTTGTGTGCCATGATGTAAAGTGAAAGCTGAATTTTCTAATTTAATGTATTGTAAATATTTCATTTAATGTAGTATGTCTACTGTTTTATGTTGCAAATGTTCAAATTACTCTTAAATATATGTGTTAAAACAAATTAAAACTTGCATAGTAGTAGAAATTAAATTTGTCTAATATGAATGAGACATTTAAATGCAAGTTAGCAAATTTAAGAAAAATTTTGAATAAATGAAAACAAGTTAGCTGTATGCATGCATTTAAGGTTAGGCTCTAAAGGCAACACTAAAGTTTAAAACACACTCTTGTTAGTTAACATATTAGCTGCAGTTTTGAAGGTAAGGTGTTTTTGTCTAGTGAGTCCAAATTTCTAACATGTACATTCTGGGTTAGGTGGCAGAGTTGTCCAACTTACACAAAAGACACTGATTGATCTTTACGGTTTATTTCTTGCCATTAGGCTTTTCATGCCGACTTTAGGTCACAGCCAACTTATGTGTTGCTTTATTTGCATAGCCGTTAGGCTAATTTACCTTTTATTTACCTATAGTTAAATTGCTGGCTTCTGCAAGCACAAGCGAAATCTGTTAAATTTTATTCGAATCAAATAAAAGAGTCTTACAAACCCTTTTCCCTGTCTCTGTGGTACTTACATAATGATAATTCACTTCTAAGTCTTAAATGTTTCGTACATTTTATGTTACCCGAGATTACAAGAAGTTATAAAATTAAATTAAAAAACTATTTTTCCACAATTTATGGAACTTTAAAAAATATTTTTTAAATTAATCATTTTTATGTGATTAATTTTAATATTATGTAATTAATTCAAATTTAGTTTACCATTTCCATTGCTTTCAATTTTACGAGCTACATATTTATACCCTAACTCCATTCTTACTTTTCATTCTTTTATTTTACCAAGTTACCCTCCAACAACACAGCTTTTTTCTGAAAAAATTTTTCAAGGGTTACACAGAAACTAGCCATGTGGATTTTTTGCTTCATTCAGCTTTTTTTTCCCTTTTCCTATTCAATTCAAATTAATATAATTGAATTAATTAATTTTATTTATGTTTTCCCATTTCAAGTTATATTGCCTTCCTAATTTTTATTTTATTTCCTTTTACATCTTAGACTACAAGCCTTCCATTTTTATATATTTTTTTTTTTTTTTTTTTTTTTTTTTTTTTTTCAATTTTCCTCAATTTGGAATTTTTTCTGCATTAATTATTATTTTTAATTTATACTTTTTTTATTCTTTTTCCTCAAATTTTGACTTGAAATATTTTTACTTTTGTTTTACAATAGTTGATTTGATTTGTAAAAATTTTTTTAGTAATTCTTTTTCTTTGGTTTGAAATTTATTTAATATTTGTTTAACATCTTGCTTTTAATTTACCCAATAGTTATTCTGGTGTCTTACTTGAAAATTCTTATTCAATTTTAGGGGCACATCAGAGCAGATTATATCTTGATGCTTAATTACATTTAAGAAGTTTCACATTTTCACTTTTTTTAATTTTCACTTTATTGTATTCTTGAACAACTTTAATATTTTTTTTTACAACTTTCTTTTAATTTATGAATTCACAATCATCCAGATATAATTCTGAAGTGTGACTGTGTTGAAAATTCTTCAGTTGTTCCTTGAAAAGACGAAGAATTCTGAACATTCTTTATTTTATTGTGCATTGTATTAATTGTATTTTACTATTTTATTGAATTGCTTTCATTTCGGTTTTCATATGTGTACTTCCGACTGAAAGAATGATTGCTTTTTTGGTTTAATTTGTGACTTAATTATTATTATCTCTCCATTACATGTAAGCGCGAAAAAAAAAAAGACAGAAATATAAAAAATACACTTACCAAGGCCTTTATGTCTTTCTTATTCCTAAACAACATACAGTTTTGATAATCAGTCTTCCACTGTGAACAATCTATACTTTCGCCATAAACAAAATACTGGTGCATACGAGCTCTAATGCCTGAAACAGATTGTGTTCTATGAATGCACGTACTATTAATGTTTAAAAAGTATAATCTGAACATATATGATTTTGCCATAAAAACACTGAATGAACATAACTTCACTTAAGCTCTAATTTAGAAGTTTATTTAATTCACAGATAATATTTTATTTAATTCATTAACTAATCTAGCATGGTGTTATTTTTTTTTTTTTTTTTTTTTTTTTTTTTTTTTTTAAGATTTTTCAAGAAAACTTGCTCATATTTATCTGAGTAAACTATGAAAATACCATACAACATTTTTAGTCCCTGTGAAGAGAAGTCAAGTTGAACTACAAGTGTTCAGCAGATTTAGCCACTTGAACCCAGACAGACTGACTACACAAAGAAATATGCTGATTTGGTTACTTATTAAAACTACTGGTAAATAAGAAACTAGTTTGTGGAGAAAAAATGCTGCTGGTAAGGCTTCATCATTAACATGAAAAAAAAATTAGTAAGAGCAAAAATGTAATTACAGAACAAATTTCAATTTAAAGAAAAATGTTTATTACAAGCACTGTAAGCAGTTTATACTCAAGTATTCTTGTGAAGAATGTTCCAAAACAAAATTATGAAAGTGTACCTACACAGTTCGTCTAACATAATAATTAAATAACTAATACAGCACAAAACTGAAAATTTATCAACATAAAATCCATCATCACCTGCCATGCAGCCTTTTAGATGCCTTACTAAGGTTTGAAATTTTGGGGATTTTCTAACATAAGCAACAGATTCAATATTCAACATTGAATCTAGTTAACATTTTCAGTTAAACATTAATTTAATATTGTAACCAAATTAGTATTTTGCCAAAAATCACTAAACTTGAGCATAAGATTAGCCCTGTGCTGTTTTATTAGAGCAAGATTGCAGTAATTAGAAATTTGGTACTCTTCTGTTATAATTGTTATGTTCAGTTAAAACTGGTAAAATGTGCTAAAGATGAACTGCTTTAAACTTTGTGACTGAGAATTTGTTGAATCTATAACATCAGTGGTTCCTCATATCCTACTGAACTCAAATAAACACACTTTTCTTTTAATACTTTATGAAACAATTTATATTTACATAAACACATTAATACTTAGTTGAACTCAGAATTGAAACGTTTTATTAATTATACACAGGCAGCGCAATGCCCTCCATGACTTTTTCCACAGCACTCCCCAATTGCATTCTTATTAAAGAGAACACAAAATTACATAGCAAGAAACAGAATATAAGAAATCAATATCTTTTGCATAACTAAAATGACCTAATAGTAACATAAAACTTAACATAAAAAGTAAAATAATATTCACTAAATAAATTTAATAAATAGATACAAGTGACATTATTAAACAAATGATACACTTGCTGTATCAGTTTCAGATATCTACAAATATGAATACCAATGCCAATGAGTTCAAATTATGGAGTGGTTTAAAACCATTTACATCCTTATCAGAATTAAATAAAGTGAGCAGAAATAAGAAAATTGCATAAGCTGGTTTACTTGATGTAAGCTAAAGGGAGCCACATATGCTCAAGAAAGGTTAGGGATAGAGATCAATATAAACAATTAATAAAATAAAATTTCAGTTTTTATAATCATTTTTCAAAATTTTAAACTTTTTTGTAGTTTTATATTTTAAGATTTTTTTTTATTAATTAATTTTTTTTCATAGTTTCCACTACCTTTTAGCTGGTGGAAAGATGTTGTATTCCCGGTCAATAATAGAGTGAGGACGCTTCTGTGAGCTGCGAATCGCAGGATCATAGGCAAGCAGTTGTTGAAGTACACAATTATCAATCTGTTCAATTTTGAGAAATAAATTTTGATTAAGTTTTTTAATTTCAACATGAATGGATTTAATTCTAAGATCCGAGTGAACCACACCCAAACGGACGTACCAGGGTGCATTTAGAATCATACGTAGGGGATTTACTTTGAAAAGTTTTTTTTTTTTTGCGTGAGTCTTAGCCGCAGTGCCCCAAATAGTGCATGTGTATAGGTCTTAAAATAGATGTGTAGAGAAGAGTTTTGTTTTTGACTGACAGTTGGCTGTTACGAGCTAAAAGTGGGTAAAGTTAGGATTCGACTCCCATTGCTTTTTTGATCAGGTTATCAATTTGAAGGTGCTAGATTAATTTGGAATCAAGTATAACACCAAGATACTTGTAAGAATTAGTCCAGGGAACATAATCTTTAAAGAACTTTAAGTTAATGGTAGGGTATGGGAGGGGAGCTCGTTTAAAAATCATAGCAGCACATTTAGCAACATTAATTTTTATTTTCCAAGTAATGAGCCAGTGCTCAAGTCTTGAGGGATAACTCTGAATATTATGAGCCAATCTGTCCAGGTGTTTGTGTCTTGCTAGGATGGCTGTGTCATCCGCATAGAGAGCTAGGGTAACACTGGGTGATTTGGTATGTCATTAATAAATAAATTGAACAAAGTTGGTACTAAAAGACTACCTTGGGCTACACCACTAAGGAATGGATGGGGAGTTGAAATGATATAATTAACTCATACAGAGAAAGATCTATTAAAGACGAATTAATTATGTGAATGAAATGAGAAAAAAAGATCAAGTCGCATGAGCTTGATAATAATACCAATATTGCATCAAATGCTTTGGCAATGTCAAGAAAAAGGGTGCCTATAAGCATTTTGCTATGAAACCCTTCATGAATGAACTCCACTGTCCTCAGCAGCTAGTGCGTAGAGCAGTGTTTTGCTCGTAATCCAAATTGTTCGTCAATAAGGACTTTTGGGTTCCAGAGAAAATCATTCAGGTGTTTAAGCAGCACAAATTCATAAATCTTAGATAATAAAGATAGGAGGCTCATAGGTCTGTAATTTTGAGGATTTGAGTGGCCCTGGCCAGGTTTTGGAATAGGCACTATAAGTGTGCGCTTCCAGCTTTAAGGAAAATAGCAATGCAGGATCATATAATTTATAAGCATCACTAAGAAAAATAGATAATTGGTGGGTAAAAATTTAATCATGCGATTAGAAATAGAATCCAACCCTGGAGCCTTTTTAGGTTTGAGCTTAGCGATATATTCGCTAACTTCGCTCATGGTTGTGTATTGTATGTTTCTCTGAAAGGGAGAGGAAAGGAAATGCTCAACATCCTGTTGGAAGGAATTTGCGGTGTTAGCAAAAATTCCTTCATTATGTGGTGTAAATTGAATTTGGAGACTATCAGCAATTAGTTCTGCTTTCTCCATGTCTGTGTGAGCCATCACTGCGTCTTTTGATAAAAGACAGAATGTGAGTTTTAGGCTTACGTAGCCTGGCATGCACGCCAAAGGCTGTTATCATTGGTCGTTAAGGACTGAATGTATTCAGAATATTGTGTTTGGAATAATTGGTCACAAGACACGTTGACTTCATTCTGGAGGGCACGAAGTTGTAATTTTAAGCCAGGACTCCTATGTCTTTGCCAAAGTCTCCGTATCTTGTTCTTTTCATGCTCTAAGGGTGGGTTTGGATACCTCTTTAAAGGTATCAGTAACGGTTTTTTTAATTGATAAACTGCTTTGTCAATATCAGAGCTAGACTTAATTTCAAGGGAGGGCAAATTTTTACTTTTAAGTTTAAATCTAAGAAATATGAATACAGCACATTTGTTCGGTTTATATAGTGCCCTCCAGGATCAGCGCCCTCTTGTGAGAGGACCCAAATTTAAATTAGTTGGTTGTTGAAGAATGTATGCAGCGGACCTATGGTGCATTTGCTTGTTCCACTTTGTGCTAATAGAGCACTTAACTTGTAACCTTGTAGATTATGTAAGTAATTAAATATTTCTGTGGCCTAACTTAGTAAATTTTATTTTGGAACCAGTGCCATTATCTTTCATAATTCATCGCTTGCATTTATTACCTAACAAAAATTTAGTCCACTCCCGGATTTGTGTTAATGGAGTTCGTATTAGTTTACAATGGCCACTATAGTTGCTTTAAATCGAAAGAAGGGATCTCTAAAAGCCCAGCTAACCAGAATAGAGACTGTCACAGCGGATAGTTCAAGCACATGGACTAAAACCAAACTAGATGCCAAGCTCAAGGCCTTGAAAAAGATGTCTGTTGCATTGGATACACTTCGATCAGAGTATTATATTGCTGTGCCTGAAAAGGATGATACTTCTGAAATAGAAGAGGAATTATTAGATCTAGAAGCAAGAATCGACGATCTAGAGGTAAGTTTCAATCAAATGTTAATTGATAATGTTGCTAGTATTAATAAGGTTGATATCGCAAAGAGTAGTTGTAAAATAAAGTTACCTGAAATTCCACTTCCGCAATTTAGCGGAAAGTATGAAGAATGGAGCATGTTTAAAATTGAATTTAATAATATTGTTACCTCAAATACTCAATTAACAGATGCACAAAAGCTACATTATCTGCATGCCACTCTTAAGGGAGAAGCAAAATTGTTGCAAACTCAAGAAGATACTTTTGAATCATCATTTAGGGCTTTATAAAATTGCTTTGAAAACAAGAGAATTCTCATTTATATTCACATTAAAGCTATCTTAGAATTCGAAAAAATTATTCATGAATCATCGAAAGAATTAAGGCATCGAGTAGATGCTGTGAATAAAAACATTAGAGCTTTAAATAATTTGAGTTTCGAACGAAACAAATTCTCTGATATTTTAATTACTACTGACATTTTAGACAAAATAGACAAGGAAACTCGAAAACAATTCTAATTATCTGTAAACGCTTCAGATGTTCCTAATTTTGATAACTTGATGACGTTCTTAGGAAGAAGAAGTCAAACTTTGGAAAATATCCACAAAAACACAATAAAATCAAAACAAACGAATGCAATAAAAGCAAAAAAACACCTTCTTGTTCATTCAAATAATTCGGAAAGAAATTGCGTTATATGTAATTCACCACATTCTCTTTTTAAATGTAGAAAATTCCTTGATATGAATTTTGGTGTAAGATTTACACTAGTAAAGACAAATAACTT